GAAAATTTAAAACAGGGCTGGGGCTGTAGCTCAGTGTGAAGGTCCAGAGTTTCCCAGTGCTACTAAACAAAACCAAAGAGATGAAGAAAAGAAAGCAAAGAACAGAAAACCAAAGCAAGGAGTATCCACAGCTATCAGTGTAGGCTTAGGTAGCAATCTTGCTTGACAAGCTACCTAAATTACCTGAAATTACCTAAATTTCAGGTAATCACAAGCAAGTTTTCAGTATTTCTTCCCCTGTGAACAGTTCAGTTTGGCATATATTCTTATAGAACTTTCCTATGACTATTCCAACTTATATATATAAACTTTTAAAAATGGAACTGGAAACTCAATATAAGAATACTCACCTGCCACGTAGGAGGCCCTGAGTCAGCACCCAACCCTGCAAAACAAAAAACAGGCAAGCAATTCTACTTACTTTTATAGTGCTAGCTGTGATTTTTCTTTTTGCCATGCCTGTACATTTAGTTTTTTTTTTTTTTTTTTTTTTTTTTAAGAGCAGAATATATTTATTGAGGGAAAGAAAGCTTCTGCCCAAGAGAAGGACAGAAGGAGGGCCCGAGTGGGTTACCCCCAACTCTTGCTTTTTCTTTTCTAGAGCAAAAACCACGATGTGAGGTGGGTCCAAATAAAATTTATTTCTTTATTTTGCACTACTGAGGACTAAACCCAGGTCCTTTGCACTGACCTATATTCTCTCCCCTTTTGAAATTTTTTAAATTTTGAGAGAGAACTTTTTTAAATTGCAAGTTGGTTGGGTACAGTAGCACAAGCTTATAATCCTAGCACTTGTGAGGCTGAGGCAGGATAATCACCATGAGTTCAAGGTCAGTGAGAGCTTGTTTCAAAAAAAAATTGCTGAATTGCCTGGGTAGGTCTTTGAACTTTCAGGATTCCTGTGTCAGCCACCCGGAGTCCTGGGGTTATAGTTGTACTCCACCAAGTCTGATGTAAATTATCCTTTAAAACCGCACGGTGTTTCAGGGTTTATTTACTGAAATGTCCACTGATGAATTTTGCTTTGTTATCAGGAGTATTATGACATATCTTCTCACACATATACTGTGATAAATTTTTGAAGTAATGAGGTCCAGAAACTAGCACTGTGATGAAAAAGGCCATGCCTTCCATGTAGCCAAAATGCCTCTCAAAGTGGTATCATTTTCAACTGCCACCAAATTATCTGAGGGTTCCTATTTTTTCAACTTGTCACATGTGTGAGTGGGTGTGTGTGCATGCGTGTGCATGTGCTAGAAACAGAACGCAGGGCCTCACACATGCTACGCTCAACTAGTGTGCTCCACCGTGGAGCTACTTCCCCGATTCCCAGTCATAGAGATTTTAAACTTTGTTTATGTGACAGCTATTTGTTTTCACAGCAAATAAAGGGGAAACTGAAGCACACACTTACAGATGCACGGAGTGAAAGTCATTTAGTGAGCAAAAGAAGGTGCAAGAAAGTACACTAAGGCCAGGTGTGTGGTGCACGCCTGTAGTCCCAACACTCAGGAGGCTGAGGCAGGAGTCTAGCTGTGAGTTTGAGGCCAGTCTGGGCTACATAGTGAATTCAAAGCCAGCCTGAGGCGGGGCGTGGTGGCGCACGCCTGTAATTCCAGCACTTGGGAGGCTGAAGCAGGAGGATCACTGTGAGTTTGAGGCCAGCCTGCGTTACAAAGTGACTTCAAGGCAGGCCTGAACTGCATAGTGAGACCCTGTCTCAAAAAAATAAAAGAAAGTACACTGTTTCTTTTGAAAAGGAAATTTGATTTGTAGCAGTTCAAGAGGATGAGTGGGTGGAATGCAGTCAACACCTTCAGTCTGAATAGGAACAAAGGAAAACAAAAGGCAGGAACCAACTGGGAGAGCTGAATTTTGTCCCTGCTTACTAACATGGCACTTTGATCTGATTTCTTCCACAGTCCATTATACCTTTCAGAATGTAATTGTATTTCTTTTGTCTTTTTTATGTTCTGAAATGACACGAATGATGACCCAAAGTGAGAACCATGAACCAGAGATATAATAAACCATGACGATTTGTTTTGTTTTTGCTTTTTTGAGACAGCATCTCACTACGTAGCCCAGGTTGGCCTTGAACTCACGGCTATCCTCCTGTCTCAGCCTCCCAAGTGCAGGGCTTACAGGTGTGCGCCACCACACCCAGCAAACCATGATGATTTGGGCAAGAGCATTTCCATGGTGCTTTCCTTCTTGTTGGTGCAAAGAAATAGAGGGATTCACCTCTCGCTGATTTTTCCGAGGCTGACAGAAGGCTGGGACGTAGTACTGTGCACAGCCACCCCCACTCAAATCAAGCAAAGGAAATAAAAGCCAAATCCAAATCCAGCCTGCAAACAGTGGTTACCTGGAGTAGAATGCATACATTAGAAGCCATCTTTTAGTGGGCCTCTATTTTGGGGACCTATTAAAATCTTCACACATTAGAAAAAGAAAATTGTCATACCCATCTTTTTTGGTTGAAAAATCAGCTGTTCTCCAGTTTAAACCACAAGTTTGACGTTAAACATAGAGCAATAGCTTAAGACCAGGCTCACCCAGAAGGCAGACACTTCTGATGTGGGCACTATCAGCCAGAAGGCCTGAAAATGTAAAAAGACAGGTCAGACAAAGGAGAAGGAAACAGGAGAAACGAAGAATAAAGGGGTGTGGGGGCAGAGGAGAAAATAAAGCACTAGGTTGGTGGCTGTTAACGTGGGTGTTCTGGGTACCAGGTCAGTTTGATTGTTTGTGCTATGAACTTGAGCTCCTTGCAGACTGGATATCTATTTTGTTGTTGTTATTGTTGTTATTTGAGATAGGGTCTCTCTTAGTTCAGGCTGGCTTTGAACTCAAGGCAACTGTCCTGCCTCAGCCTCCCTCCCAAATGCTAGGATTACAGGAGTGCTCACCATCCCTGGTCAGACTGAATATCTTGTTCATCTTTATTTTTCTGCCCAGTATGATGCCTGATAGCTTTGTTCAGAAAAATGTTGGCCTGAATCAGACTCCATGAAGCTATTATGTATTGAACATTCTAAAATTTAAATTTCATAGATAATATGGTATATTGTGGCCAGAAAATTTTTTTCTTAGCTTTAAAAATTTTTTTTTGTTTTGTTTTAGTTTTTCTCCGGTACCAGGAACCGAACTCACGACCTTGCCCTTGCGCCAGGCAGGCGCTTTTTGTCGCTGAGCTAAATCCCCAGCCCCTAAAAAAATGTTTTATTTGCATGTATATGCAATACATAATAATTACATTCATTTTGAAGAACTGGTACTTACCTATAAGGGAATCTTAATCATTCCTACTTCCTCTTCCCCTCCCTACTTTTCAAATCCCCTTTTCCATCTCCACAAAGATAAGACAGGAAGCAGGGAGGTAGACTTTGTGGAGCCAGAAGATATTTATGCATTGTTTCTTGGTTTTCTTTCTTTCTTTCTTTCTTTCTTTTTTTTTTTTTTGAGACTGGGTCTCACTACGTAGTTTACGCTGGCTGTGGACTTATTACATAGCCCATGCTGGGCTCAAACTCATGGTGATCCTCCTGTCTCAGCCTCCCGAGTGCAAGCGTGCACCATCATGCCCATTTTATAGACAATCTTTTCAACCAATTGAGTGGCCTGTGAAGGAAAGAGACTCCTGGGCTCCACGCTGGAGATCCCAATAGATATCTAAAGGTGGTGGGTGGGGCCTGAGAATCCTGCAGTTGATGGGGTGTGGGGGTGCTGAGCCCAGCTCTCCTTTAGACAACCTCACCGCATCCGTCTTGGTGGTCAGGAAAGGGCCTCGGCAAAGCGCTGCCCTCTGGTCTGTCCCAGGGTGACTGAACCTGCAGTAAGCACAGCCTGCAGAAACAAAGACCTTGCTGATGAGACGTGCAGAGCTGAAGCAAAGCGCCTGACTCCGCCATTCGGGTCAGACGTCCATCACCTGGCCCATCCTCGGTAGAAGGCAAGCCCAGTCTGGGAATGCCATCAGTTGCCACAATAAACCATCCCCTAGTCAGCTTCCTGGAAAGATGCGCTTTGGACAAGAGTCCTCCATCTGTCCATGGAATCCACTTAGCCCGGATACCTGTCTCGCTCGCGTGCAGAGCAGCAGCACTTGTGTCGGTCACATGCGTGCAACAGCTGCTGCGGGTGACTCCGGTCCACCTCAGGAATGGCAGCTGCGTGTGAACCAGCACATCCACTACCCCTTGGAATTCTAAGTGCTCTGCGGCTCGGTCTGTGAAGAACTCCTGACCACCCTAACGTGCATGATGACACGCTAGAAGACAGTCGTCACGGTGCATGGAGCCGGCGTAGGACTTCAGGTGCGGGGCTCCGGTCCGCTTGGTGAGTCTGCAGATTGGTGAGCATTCTGAGGGTCCCCATACTTGGGGGACAATTCAGAGAGGAGATGGAAGCTGTCTGAAGGCACTCATGGGCCTTAGATGTTTGCAAATTATGAACTCTTGAGAGAGACAGCCAAGCAGAGGAAGGAGATGCAATGGGAAACAGCGGGATGCCAGTTCACAAAGGAGATGCTCCAGTTTTCCAATAAAGGCTGTTTAAAACCACACTGGGACGTGGGGGACAGATCCTATTAACTGTGTCTGCAAATGTGAGCTCACTGAGCAGAAACTCAGCTGGACTAAACCGGCAGGTGTCCCTGATTTTAAGTCATCTATCAGAGATGAAAGCCTCCTATTGTTCAGCACTTGTGGTGATGTGAACATGAACCTCACCATGCTGTGTCCCCTCCCCAGCCTCCTGGGACCCATTCAGAATCGCTGACCACAGCCTCACCTGGCACCGTCTGGCCAGAGGAACCCACAAGTAACAGAATTAACAAAGGCGCTCGAGCTGGGCGTGGTGGTGCTCTCAGCAGTCTGGAGGCTGAGGCAGGAGGATCGCCAAAAGTTCCAGGCCAGCCTGGGCTGCATAGTGAATTCAAGGCCAGTCTGAACTACATAGCAAGACCCGGTCTCAAACAAAACACAACACAACGACAAGAACAAGTATTTGCATGGGTGGTACTTTACACATAAAGCAACATCAGTGATTTTCTTTGTTTCATATCATTTTCCTGAGAGAGGTGGGTTTTCCTGCTACTATTCTCACCGCACAGGTAGGTAAACTGAGGCCCACAAGGGTATGACACACCTAGTAGCTCAAGGCAGCCAAAGCTGCAGTTAGCTTGAATCCTGGCCGCCTCACCCGCTGCCCTGAGGTGATGAGAACCTCCCCAACCCGAAGCTGGCGCGGGGAAGGAACGTCAGTTCGCGCCTCGCTGGACTCTTTGAGTCGGGGCTCGCCTTCCTCTCCGCACGGGAGGTACCTGGGGCCGGTAGGTGTTGGGACGTAGTCACAGGTTGTAAAAGGCGGCATGCGGAGGTGGAGTCCGGATTTCCCCACCTCACAATAAGAAGCCCAGACGGCTCGGACAGGACAGCCGGGCCCAGGTCCAGGATGAGCGTCCCGGGGGGCCTGGAGGTGCGCAGCCAGCGGGGGGCCGGGGAGGTCGCGGTGGGGCCCGGGACCCGGGGGCGGGGCGGGCAGGAGCTCGGTATCTCCCAGGATCTGGAGAGCCAGACTTGCGACACTGGCCTCGGTCTCCACCCGAAGATGGTTATCAGGCCGAGGCCGCGGCCGCAGGGGACCGGGAGGGCAGGGCCGCGCCCGCGCAGC